ATGGTACAATTACAGGAGTTGAAGGGGTTTGTTCCTAGGCGGAGGGGGGAGTGAGTTACCTTTTTCTCATAATACCGTGGCGTCATCCAGGATGACTCTGACTCTGACGGATGCAAGTTGTGGGCTTTGCTTGCGTTTGTGCGGGAAAGGGTTCTTAAGACATGGTGCTGCCACGTGCTCTTAGAGCCATGAACACGAAGAAGTACTCCAGCAACGACATGACGCAGTCGGGGTCCATCTGTGTTCTCCATAGCTCCAGTGCGTTGATACTCCGGGCATAGCCTCAGCGAAATTCACATCGGATGCGCATCTCTGCGGGTTGATGCGTTGACAGTGCGAGACTGCATCGGAATGCCGCCAAGTACTCAGCGCTCATCTTTCTACAAGCAGAACTAACTGACGCCAACTATGTACCGCTTGGCAGCCTGGATTGTGGGGGACGAGCATGCCGTCCACCGCTGGCCTTTGCACGACTTGTTAGCATGATTCCGGCGGCCACAAATCGCAAAGAGGCCCTTCCGTGCCTTGAATGTTGTTAAGCCAAGGTCCACCCTCTACACCTGCAACCCCATAACCCACCGTTACCTGGGTCCACCTCCTTTTTTTCAGGCACAGCTTCCATACCCCAAGGTCAGGCATGCCCAACAGCCTAGGGTGACTTCACAGAAATTCCTGCCATGGCAGCGCCGTTCCCAAATCTGCGATCTTTAGATTAGCCTTACATGAGCTCTACAGCGGATTTGCAAAAATTATGGTTGAGCTTTTTGGGCGGCTTCCATGACAAGTATTCCTGTGTCTTTCTAGTTGTGCGGTACGAGGGTATCTTTGTTCTTTCGGCGCCTGCCTGCCTGCCACATGGTCTAGTAATGAGCCATATCATAACAAGTGGCATCTGGGACTCCCAAAATTAAGGGCTGCAGCATGTTTTGGGGAGTCCCCATAACAGGGATTATGATTGTCATAGGTTGCGGTCTATATTGAGGTACCCCTGTCTATGGAAGTTACCCTAGCGTTGCTCTGGCCATAAAGACCTGCTACAATCCGTATTACAGGGACTGCCACAAAAGAGCCCACAATTTGTTAGAAACGACCCCCCACCCTGTAATAGTAGTATAAAGGGAGTATAAACGGACCCTAATATAATCCCTTTTATCCCTTATAGTCACTATTACTGGGCGGGGGGTCCACCTAACCCATATCCCTCCAGACCCTAAACCCTAAACCCTAAACCCTAAGCCCTGGCCCTAAACCCTAGACCCTAAACCCTAGACCCTCCCATTATGAGCCCACAAATTGGTGGAAACCCCCATGTCTAATGCTTGCACCCGGCAATGGGCGAGCCTCCCAACGGCGGGCATCTCCTGGCAGGGCTTCATGGCTTGCATGGCACTATAGTCCCCTTAAGTAAACGGAATATGGTTTTGGGTATATCATAATGAGATCCCCATATACCCCATATTCTATCTACTTAAGGGGGACTATAACCTCATAAGTTCCTCTACTACCCGCCTAGGTTCCCCTTTAATTAATCCCAAAATTAAGCCTAATCTTCCCTAAACAGCCCCAATTAAGGTGGGAACCTTGCGAGGGTGGTGTAGAGGCGGGTAATAGGAACCCATGATAATCACTAATCCCCTCCCCCTGATAATACTCCCCCCGTAATAATAAAGCTCCGCCTTCAACATGGATATTCCCTCCGTTTTTTGGGCGGCACCAACCAAATCTGGATGTTTTTATTTTTTGGGGGGTGGGGGGGAGTTTAGATTGGGAAGCGCAAAGACGGAATAGAGGCTCCTCGCAACAAGGCATAGGGATTGAGGTCTCGAATTTCGACGAGCCAACATTTCTTGGAGCTTGAGGTTTCTAGAGAACTGTTTGACAGCTATCCACTCGTACCAAGTGTGACGGATAGCTGCAATTGCTAAGCCCCAAAAACAGGGCACCGTCAGGCATGAACTGGGTTTAAGACTGCAATCAAGCAAGCGAGTGGCCGAGCTGGTTTCATATCTTGCGTACGTTCCCCACATACAGGCCTACAAACCCCTGTACAATTTTCTTGAAAATCTTCGGCAACCCCCATTAAGTCCCAAACTCCCACAGCACAGTACAAACCCAAAGAACGGTGCAAACCCCAAAACCCGCCCACCAAAAGGCTCCTGAACTGGAGCTGCAGGGGCCACTGGGCAGGGCACACACGTCGGCGGCATGGCCGGCACGGGCGCACTCTGCATCGGTGCTGGCATGTCCGGCCTGGGTTGTTCGGAGTCCTCCTAAGGTAAAAAAAGAGTAACAATCTGATATTTCTGATCATAATAGTAATACTAATAGTAATAGTAGTAGCGCTAGCAATAGTAGGATCAGTAGCAATAATGATGAGAAGAATAATGCTAACCTAAGCCCTGAAACCCTTAGCACGTAGTGATCCACCCCAAGCCCTGGTCGATTTTAGCTGTGGCTCACTATGAAATAGCTCTAAGGTAGAAAAAAGGATATCAGCTGTAGTCTAAACTCTTGAAAGGGGGTTATACAGGGGATTATATAGGGGACTATTATTGGGGTTATTCAGGGGGATTCTAGGAGCTAAGACTATGACTCATATCATTTCCAAATATTTTGGCTTCTGCATCAGGAGGGCTTCCATCATTCCGAGGTCTTGAAGTGTAGGAGTGCTCCTTTGGTGGGGGATATCCATGGTACGTGGTAGTAACTAGGGATCCTTTTGCTTCTGGGCCGAGGCTCCTCTACGGGGATATGAGCCATAATCTGAACTCCTAGAATCCCTTTTAATAAGACCTAGACTACTCCCCTTAATCCCCTATCTAGCCCCCTTTGAGGAGTTTAGACAGTAGCTCACAGAGGAATCATTAGGGTCGTGTGGGGGTCCTTGTGCCCTACAGGGATTGTTTGGAGAAACTGCCCCTCACCCTGAACATATGAGCCATAGTCTAAACTCCTTTACGGGAGGTGATTTGTATGGAGGAGTAAGTATCATAGGGCTTATTAAGGGGCATACCAGACTGTGGCTCACATCATGGTGACCTCCAAGTTTCAGATTCTAACCACATTTGGCTGACGCGAATACTACACCAGCTACACGTCAAATCAGGGAGCTTCATCGTTGGTATCTCTAGCACAAGGTCCTTACTTGTTAAATGTTTCTACAGAAGGCAGTCCATTCCGCTGCGTAGTGCTTGAAGTATGCAAAAGGCATTCTCAATTCTCAGTACTGTCTGGCGGAAGTCTTGTCAACCTCTGTTCCCTACCAACCCTCCGTAAGCAAAAACTTCAAAAACTTTCCCAAGGCAGAGTTAGTGGCATGTGGTCCGTGAGTCCCCTCAGCTGAAGGTGGATTTGAGTGGGTCCGAAGTGGCCGCGTCACTGGGTTGCTGTAAAGGAGCTTAATTCAAGTTACTATATTTGAGAAACCCTATTAACATCATTAATTTCTGCTTCTGGGGCGGGGAAACCCTATTAATTACCACTATGGTGACTTAATTTAAGCCCCCTAACAGCAACCTAGGTTAAGTAGAGGACAAACACCAACGTTGACAAGAGACTGGGTTCCTCAAGGATGCAGAATATATCTTGAGCGTTTTATTTGCGTGCATGCCAGATATAGTACAAGTAATATAGTAACAATAACAGTATGGTAACAGTAAATAGTAATGGTAACATGTCGTAACAGTAACAGTATAGTAGCAACACTAATATAGTAATGGTAATAGAGTAACAGCAACAGTATAGTTACAGTGAATAGTGATGGTAATATAGTCATGTTACGACTAGAAGCCCAGCTCCTGATCTGGCAACCCAGATGCTGATCGCCAGTGACGTGGTTGAAGAAGTATGCAGGCTTGTGGTAGCCTGCAGGGCGGGGAGTGGACGAACCATGAACTCGTGGCTCCCGCATTCACCCTTTCTGCCTTCAAGTCTCCAGTACTGCGTGAACCTGCCCAAGAACACTGAGAACGCATGGCCGCACTCAGACTTACAGGCAGCTGATTGCAAAGAGGTGGCTGGTTCAGATGCGCCGGATCGCGGGGCTCTTGCCAGTTCAGCTTCTCCTGGAAGGCCACGCGGATGATTTGCTTTAACACTACAGCTCAGCTAGAATGTTGCAGATCAGCCCACAAGGCAGGAGTGCAACTGGTTGGACAGTCCTTCAGCTTGTTGCAGTGTGCCTTACCCCACACATGGCTCGCCTGAAGTCCACGCGGGCAAAGGACAGAGAGAGCGCCATGGCGTTGACATTGCGCGTGGCAACAACATTCCCGTGGCAACAAAAGCCATGGCCAAGGGCAGCACAAGATTGGCCGGGAACTCGGCCTGGGGCACGCTCAGCATCTGACAGTCTAAACTGCGTTGTACTGGACATTGCTTTGGACAACCGTGCAGTTGACACGCTTCACGTGCAGGCCAAACTTGACAACATGCCTGGAGCGAATTGGGTATCTGAACCAGGCCTCACAAACCAGGCAGGTTCCCCAGCTCTTCCAGGACTTGCCATACTTGTAGATCTCCTGCGACAAAAGGAATTGCTAAAGCAAACCTTCCAGCATCTTCGGCCGGTAGGTATTGCTGGCTGCTACCCTGCTGCAAGTGCAGCTTCGTATGGCATGTGTAATAGTGGCATGCCCGTTTACGCCAAGGCACATCGGCAAGCTTGTAGCCTCTGGGCTCCATGTAGGAGTGGAAGGAGCTGCAGTTCTTGTCCTTAACTCCCGCGATGTTTTGCAGACTGTAGCCAGTAGGCACTCGGTATGTCGGGCCCTCACCGTGAGACTCAAGTGAGAGAAATCTGGCTTGCTCATGGCTTCAACAGGTCGCGCCCCTGCCCTCTCAAAGTGAACTCCCTACATCGGGCCACAACAGCTTCACAAGCCACAAGACATCCATGCATAAGGTCCTGACAACACAAAATGGATGCACTAGCCGTTAGCGGCTCGCGAATGCATTTTTTTTTTTACCAAATCTGCACCTGCTGCAGGGCAACACCCCCCTCAGTACGGAGCGTAGCCCTGGTCGCCACCTCCTTGCAGGCGATGCTCGACCAGTAAGCACAAATACTCCAAGGACTGCTGAACATGAGCATTATGCATGTCCGGTGGCAGGGGTGCGCGCCTCTGCCATCAGGCTGGCCTCTAGTTGGTGCATAAGATGCAGGGCACCCGAGATAGCCGTTGCAGCCATCGCAGCCGCCGCAAGCACCACCACTACAACCACAAGCTCCGCAACCACAGGCTCCATAACCACAAGCTCCACCTGCGCAAGCTCCGTAGGCTCCGCCGGTGCTGGCACCACCGGCTCCGCAACCGTAGGCGCTAACCCCAGGAACGCCGCCACAGGCGCCACCACCATAGGCACCATAGGCAGTCATGCCAAATCCACCAAGCAAAGCATCGGCTCCGCAACCTGGGTAGTGCAGCTCAAAAGCCATGCAGCGCTTGCCACATCAGACATGACCGGTGATCCAATCTGCAAAGCTGCTCCCGCTGCAAGCGCCATAGTCTGGTGGCGGTGCGGCATTGTATGCTGGTGGCGGCGCGGCATTGTAGGATGGGCCTGGACAAGTTTGTACTTAGTACTAGCTTCGAAAATAGTATGAAGATCTCCTGCTGCCAGGCTGGACAACTAGGAGTGCTCGTGGCATCGAAACCCATCAGGACAGCGCTACTTTGGAACCTAAATATCTTTTTACATCAACCTCATGCCAGAGAACAATCTCAGAGGGTCCATGTAGGCAATAGTATATGCATAGGCCATAGGGCCGCTTACATGAAGCCGGGGCAGTCCCACTGCGGATATGCGGCCTCTGTAGCCGCCACCGCCGCCACCGCCACCACCACTCTGGGATGGCCTAGGCGCGCCGCACTTGAAGCAGGAGTCCTGCACAGGGATCCAAGTGGACACTATCATATAGGGTGTGTATTGGGTTCCTTTAGAGGAGTTCTGGGGGATATACAGGGAAACATGAGGGCAATATAGGGATTTTGTACGGGTAATTCGAAAGAAAATGGAAGCATTTTTTTCCCTACCGCTTGGCTCGAAGCATGTGGAGAGGCAGAAGCTGCATCACTAGAGACAAAGAGGTGGGTATGGGGGACACCTACGCAGCACTTTAAATCCAAGTCCAGCATTTAAAAATGTTCTAAATGGTAGCGTCCAGGGCTTTATCCCTGCAGTCCAAGTATGGCAGCCGCAACTGCAGCTGTCAATCAATATCTCACTGAAGCAGTACTTAGAATCAGGTTGTCCTACATCAAAGCCATGCTTGCGCTACAAGTAAGCGTGCTCCTTCTGACAATCAATCCCTTGGAGACAAGATGTCCTTGGAACCAAACACACTGGCTCCACACTCCTCGGGCTGTGCCACACGCAGGCAGCTACATATGCATGAAGCGCTGCAAAACGCCGGGCCCTTGCTGCGGTTGCCTCACCACCACCACCACCACCACCACCACCACCACCACCACTGCCATCGCCGCCACACCACCCAGCAGCAGCACTTGTTAATGATATCATCCTGTTCTTTCCCTAGAGTCAAGCCGCCTGATCCTATAATATGCCCACATCATACCTCCCTTCCCCGTTTCCTGGTACTGTCGTCACACAATCCCGACATACCCCTTTGTCAAAACATCCCAGCGTCATTCCTCGATACCCCCTTTGTTCTTTGAAAACGCACGCATAATCTCTCAAGGCGGGTTTCCAAGATTAAGGGTCCCTTTCTGCAAGTCCTGATAAGCAGAAGGAACAGGATCTGCAGGTTTGAAAGAGCACCCCAAGTCATCGAAACGACCCATATGGAATGTCCACCAACAGTGGGGCCACAACATGACATAGACCCCGAAATGCTGTGGTAGGTTGTCTTGATAGAGGTCCCTAAAAAGGAACACCTAGTTTTTTGAAAACCCCCATACAACCCGTGCACCCCTTTCCTCTACACCTCAAGCCCTTGACCCTAAACCTAAACCCTGAACTCTAGATCCTTAACCCAAAGCTTTTTTCCTCCACCCAGACTTGAGCGAATGCCGGAATGTCACCCAAACCTTGAAACCTAAACTCACTCTCTTACACAACAACTACTCAGGTTCCCCGGTCAGCGCGGAAGCTCGCTCTTTGACCTAAACTCTAAATCCTGAATCCTGAACCCTAAACCAATCTCAATCTTGCGGGTGGTTAGTAGGGAATAAGGGGATACAATCCCTACATGATCCATTCCTTTATTCAATCCTTGCTACCCCTCAGTAAGCAATACAGCAAAGTGGTACGAGCGTCTTGGCAGATCCAATCTCCCGGTCTTGAGTTGGCTGGAGCTGGAGGACCTGGGCAGCTTGATTTGCTTTGAGGTCCCTGTAGAGGGTCATAGCGACGAATTGGGATACAGAGAGACAGATAGGCATGTATAGGGAAATAGATGAACACACACGCATGTGTATATATATAATGTAATTTCAGGTTTGGTTGTTCAGGGGCTTCTTCTCGAGAACGTACAGAGTATAGGGGCTATCTCAAATTTGCGTGGGGATTTTGTCTGCTGCGAGCAAGCAAATGACGGAAAGGAAAAAAGCAGCTCTGTCACTACTAGAGACTTTTGGTTCTGACCTAGATATGGGCGGTCGCATGAAAACGAAACATGACGGGCATAGGTCAATGTGAAGTACCCCGCGCAATACAAGTGATGCAGTTTTGATAATAGCAGTTGCGGTTCGAAAGTTGACAGCAAGAGTAAGAGCGTCAGCCCTGCAAACAATGACAATGCCAATGGCAGTAATGGCAGTATCGACAATGGCGACAATTCAAATGGAAAGAAGGGTAGCAGCAGCATGAGGGATAACAAGCACAACATCAGCAACGCAATGCTGACAGATTCCGGGCAGAGAAATTTTACTGACTGCAGGAACCAATGATAATCACCGTGGCAACATTGGGATCTATCACGCAAGTAACTGACATACAAATGGCTACAATAGCAATAGGAATTAAGACTGTTCAGTTCGGTCCCGAGGCAGTAGCAGAGGCAGCAGGAGCGATACTCGCAAGCAGGCATTGATGGCTATACTAGTGACAATGTTGGTAGCTGTAACACGGTGATGATGGTGTACTACTGCTACTGAATTTCGCAATGACAGCAGCACTAGCAGAATAATTCGGAACAATCACAGAAATAACAACCGTCCAAAACAAAGCAGGAGTCGGAACAGACGTAGTCAATCTAGTGATAGTTGTAATGGTAGTGGTGGTGGCGGCGGTGCTAGTAGTAGTAGTAGTAGCAGCAGCAGTAGTAGTAGTGGTAATAGTAGTAGTAGGAGGAGGCCCCGCTTACGTTCGTGACGGTACATATTCGTGGCATCATAGGACTCAAAATACTGCAATTCCCAACTCTCCTGGTTTTCAGATGGCCGCAGTTGCGGAGAAACTTTTCTGGGCCTTTTATGTTCAACATGTTTCAGCATGCGGAAACTCAACTGTCTACATCATTGGTATTGGCTCCAGGCACAGTCAGGGATGAAACCTAGGGTTTAGGGTTTAGGGCATGCAGAAATGCAACCACAGAGTATAAAGTCAAATCAGAACTCCTCCCACCCTCGGACTAATGGGGCGAACCTTGGACTAACGGGGCGAGGATAATTAAAATTAAATCAGGACTCCTCGCACCCTTGGACTAAGGGGGCGAACCTTGGACTAATGGGGCGATTGAAAAAGCCCCTGGGAAGCCTACCTGAAAAAACTGGCTTCTCTCAATAAACGTCCAAAATAGGCCCGAACGCACTAAAAAAACGCACTAACAACTCAGACCAAAAATACTGGACAAGTGGATCAAGCAGAAACACTCCAGGAGGACTTTGTCCAAAAATCGCGCGAAACCCCAGCTTCAGTAGGGTGAAGTGGAGAAAATCACACCGTCATAAACGCAACCGTTACCTAGTAGTAGCTAAGCCACCTTCCGAACTTAGGCATTTGTGCTCTGCTACACAAGTGCTTCAAATGCATCCCACCGAACCACACGCCACTGAGGAGCCACTGCCTTTGCCACCTCCTTTTTGTGGTACTCCTTTGGTTCCTTCGGCTGTTGCCTGCGTAGCATTTGGGGCTGCCGATCTCAAAAGCCAGCGTTACCATACTATTGGTGCACAAGCTCTCGAATGAAAGGCGCGCACTGCCATGCTAGCTGACTCTTGCAACAATGGCTGTTTCTAATGCTGGCATCCCTACCATTGCAATCATGCCTTGCATAGGGAACTGGTGCTTGTCTAATTTCTACACTGTTCAGGCACTGAGAGCGGGGCTCTTTTGCAGTCGACCCACTTATCTTGGATTTTGTGCTCGGTATGCATGGACATAATGGCGTCAACGGCCTGCAAAGCGCAAGCAAGAGGGTGCAAAACGGCTTTTAAAGATATGGTTCGTCTTTAATGTTTAGGAGCTATTGGCTTGGTAGGGCATGAATTAACATTTCTGAGGGCTTGGTGGTAGCTTTGCACTGAGCGCTCCATACTTGTTCCTCAAGTGGGTCTCTGCTATACACCACAAAACATTGTAAGCAGTAATATAGGAACACCCCTAATTTCTTGCAAGCACCCAGTAACTCTATAGACTCTGATGTTGTGCTCTGGTCAGAATGAAAATCTGTGTCTCCACATTTCTTCATGTGGTGCTCTACCTAACTCCTGACATATCGGTTCCAGAGGTTGCGCGTGGTGGACACAGAGACGGCCTTTTGGAATCAGAGTTAGTTTGGTCCCTAGCTGTTCCCCTCAGCAAGCTCAGACATCTGCGCAAACAGGTGTCTTGATAAGGAAACTCGCCTGACGCCTTTCTGACAACGTTGGTAACAGATGCCTGCCTTAAGCTTGCTCCGCTCGATTTACTTCGAAGCCGAACCTAGCTCTCTGTGAGCCATAGTCTGAACCCCCGATATCCCCCATAAGACAAGTCGTCCAGCATATTACCTCCTGTAACCCCCCTTGAGGAGTTTAGATTATAGCTCCCTATGAAACAATGAGGGGTTCAACAGTAGCCTGCTTGGGATGTGGCAGCAATATGGGCTCCCTGACTGGCAGGAGATGCATCCTCCTTCTACCTGATGTTACTATTATTGCAATTACCAGTTGTCTTGCTATTTTTGCTGCTATTTTCGCTGTTATTACCCTTATTCATTATTACTATATTACAATTACTACATTACGACAATGATTACTCCTCCCTAGCTTTGACATGGTCTCTACATGACACAATCGCCAGACCTTCCTACTTAGAGTTAAACCTTGACGCACTAGGACCTCGATAATGCGCTTCTATTCCAATTGTGGACATCGAGGGCCATGAATGATGCTGAGACAGCCAGATCCTGAGACACTCCTACTAAAGGTCCTACTATATGGGTATGTCCAAAGGTTGGGGTCCGCCCTCTGTACCGTCTATTATCCCTACCGTTTTGGAAAGCTTTTTTTTGCATCTGGTCTTGTTGATGCCAGGCACAGGACTGCTTTTCAGGCCAAGACACTTTTGGAAAGCCTTACAAGCCCCTTCTTAGGCCCAAAGCCATGTCTAGCCTAAGTTCAGATGCAGAAATGCAAACCAGCTGCCTCTGTCCCCTTGATACTCCAACTTAAGCCAAAGACCACCTTTTTCACTGTGCTTTTTTCTACGCTCTAAAATTTAAACTCTCAACCCGGATCCGTACTTAAACACGAAACTTAAATCCTACTCCGCTCTTGTAACTTAAGCCCTCAAACTGAACCCTGAACCCTTAACCCTAATCCCGCTAACCCCTTACTGTTGACACTCAGGATCCGGCATGACCTTAGCTATATCAAAATGATTCCCGAGGTATAAGGTCCTTACGGCCATGCAGGATGTCCAGTATCCACCACATCATTCAGGAAACCTGAAAAACCCTAAACCCTAAACCCTAAAATGGCCAGGCCTCCAGTGTGTCGAAAGACACAAATCCGAAACCCCGGGATCGGCCCGTTGCCCGGTCAGTCATCACCACCACGTCCGTGATGTTCCCTGGGTTTACATTGGTACACATGAAAAGGGTTCGATGTGGATTCTATAGGGATTCTATCTATAAGGTCATAACATGGGAGGGGCCGAAACCTGTATGTGGTCCATTATCTAAGGGACAAAGCTTGACCTTCGCTCCGGCAAAACTACTATTTGAGAAGCCTGCGTCTGCGAAACTTTCTCGCGCAAGAGCCAAGGAGGCACTTCTTCACACCAAGTTGCCAAGGCAACACAGGGATCCGCTTGTTGGCATCACCACTGAAACTGGCGAATATACTTCCAGATGCAATAAAGGTTCGCTTTGCGAACCATTCCCTTTCTCTTTTTGCTGTCACAAGTTTCGGAAGCACTGGAATAAGGATGCTATTCTAATGGTTCCGGCATGAATGCTCTGGTAATCCGAAATGCTCGAAATGAATGTTGTTATGGTTCCGGCATGGATGCTCTGGTAATCCGAAATGCTCCAAAATGGATGTTGTTCTGGTTCCGGCATGGATGCTCTGGTAATCCGAAATGCTCGAACACGGATGTTGTTGTATGTTTCTGGCATGGAGCTCTGGTAATCCGAACAAGTCGAATAGGGATGCTATTCTGGTTCCGGTATGGATGCCGCGCAACGCTAGCCCAAAATGAGTTGCTGCACAGAGAGTGTGCTGGATACTGTGCCGGATCAAGGTCCAGGGCTGGCTGAACTTGCGCTGGCCCGCAAAACAGTGGCCCCACGTGAGCTATAGTCTAAACCCCAAGAAGCTGGACATGTGCAAGAGCTGAAAATGTGCAGGACGCGCCTGTCACACGCTAGGTGTCCCCACCTATAATAGGGATATCACCCTCAATAGTGGAGAATCACGTGGAAAACAAAATGGAAATAAATTTAAGCTGGGGTCTGTCTAGGGGTTAGATTACTTACGTCTGGCTAGAAGGGCATGAAGGCAGAGAAGCGGAGGGCTACAGGAAGCACCCATTCCTTCATTCCGCCCCAATACGGCTAGCATGCCCCCAAAAAAAGCACGGTTCTTGTGATCATGGTTCGATTTTGGCTGTGCGTTCCTGGGTTTGAAGAATACAGCTTCGACTATGAGCATCTCCACATGTCTGATTCTAGAAGGTTTGAACTCTTCTGTGTTCTGAACAGCACACCAAGCGCGAGCGAATGTAAGTCTGCACACCACTTTATACTATGCAGGGGTGCGCCGCGGAGGTTTATACACGAAGGCTCTCCAAAGCAGGGAACTCATGGTTTGAAAGCAAGTAGACCCGGTAGTCAAGCCGGTCGATCTCAACAAGGGTGGCTTCTTGCTAAAGAAGTGCTGCAGATAGTTTGGGACGCATGGCACGCTTTCCAAGCAGACGCGTCAGAGGAACGTACTACGACCTAGGTACAATGCCGCATGGCAAGTTTTTGGTGTCTAAGGCTCATGACTATGTGCTACATGAAGCCGAGCGAATGGGATGCAAGTTCCAGCACAGCGTCCGCCTGCGCTACAGTGCTACGGAGGCAAGAACAACATCTGAAGCTCTCCCAAAGCTACATCTCCCTGCTGCTTTGCGAGATCATCTTCCTGCCCAAGTTGCCATATTTGCCGAAGTAATCCACGAGAATGTCATTTGTGCAGTCCTTTCCATCACGCGCAAGAAAAACTTCTAACCATGCTCCTACAGCGAAATTACTCTTGGCTACGCAATGCCTGCTAAAGCAAGTGGTATCCCCATACAGCGCGCAGTTCACCATGTAGTGTGCCACGTGGGGCGCAATCCTGCGGGAGGCCGCCCACAAAAACCTTGAAGGGGCCGCCACCTCAGTGCTGCGGTAGATTTTTCATCCTGATCCCTTGCAAAAAGTCCTGTGTCATACCCTGAATACTCTAAACCCCGCTGCAGCAATACTGTGTGATGCCTCTACTGACTACTGCATCACAGTTCACGCAGGTTCAAGAACAGGGACACAACGCTGCTCAACATTAGGGGAGCTGACGGTCTCTGGATGCACAGCTGACGGCCGTGAGCAAGAAGAAGGTGAAGAAGTAGTAGCAGCAGCAGCAGCAGCGAAAGCAGTTCAAGCCGGTAGTAGTAATAACAGTAACAATAAAGCGGCAGTAATAATCATTGCAGTTATACTAATATGGTAGTAATAGTGATAGTAATGCTAATCACGATTGTCGTAGTAACAATGATGATGATACGACTGGTAATTGCAAGAATAGTAGGAATAATAATGACATCAACAAAACACGAACAGTAAGAAGTACTAGCAATGATAAAGGAAAAATATGGAAATAACTATCATAAAGATCATATAGCAATAACAGTAGTATTGTAATACTAGCAATGACAAGTAGTAATAACTAGAATAAGGGCAAGTAGTAGTAGTAGTAGTAGTAGCAGCAGCAGCAGTAGTAGTAGTAGTGGTAGTGGTAGTGGTAGTGGTAGTGGTAGTAGCAGTTACTGCTGTAGTATTAATAATGACTAGAGTAGTTCCCAATGAAAAAGCAAAAATAGTGGTAGTGGAACACAGGCTGGGCGTGGCACGCTCCATGCCGAGATGGCCGCAGCACCGTCGCCAAGGCTAATCTTGACTCGTGAGGAGCAGTGGGCCGGTATATCCTAAACCCTAAACCCTAAACCATCTAATATGAGGAACCTCGGATACCTTAGGCAGCATGGGGGACTGCTTGGGATTTTGGGCCAGAACGTGATTCAAAATCATCTACATTAGACATGCCTAGCACCCCTGCAGCTTGCATGGGCACTATATCGATAGTAGCTGCCAGATAATCTTGGCTTTGGCCAAGCTTCAGTGGCTGCGGTCACGATTCAAAAACGTCCCCCGACACATGATCATATTTCAGACTGGGCCTCTGGTACGTAACACAGGCTCTGCTAAGTATAAACACGAGTTGCCTCAGGATGAACATAGACCCTTCAAGGGTCATAGTGGAGCCATCTTATCTTGACATTTGCAACAGCCGGCCCTTGCCCAGGCAGATGCTTGAGCCAGCCAGCAAATCAGACAGCGAACATGTAGGGTTCTGGGCATTGAGGGCTCTGCATATATGTATACAAGCAACATGCCGTACCTATGTACATGCCATAAACAAACATGCACATACAATGAACACATAATTATACAGTCTAGGGTTTACGGTATTTAGATGTATTCTATTTATTAGAGTATAGGGTTCAGCGCAAGCAAACTTACTGGCGATCCGGCTTGCAGTCGCAACAAGCATCATGATGCAGCTCTCAGATTTCTCTTTCCAACCTCTGAAGGCGCTGTTGGTCGGAATCGACTTCGTCGAGCGACGTCTGTATGCTGTCAGCGGGTGCTGTACAGGCTGGTGCATTCCGGCTGCCACAAAGAGAGGTAACACTGCCGGCAGCAACAACATGCGTTCCTGCAGGCAATTCGGGAAGAGGCTCGGAGTTGCCAGCTTCGCTGGCACCAAAGCACTCTCAAAGCTCTAAATGGAAATAGCAAAAAGCAACAAAACTTCTGCAGAAACACGCTGCAGAGCAAAGTCCTCAATTCATGGAAATACCTCTGAGGTTGACAAATGATGCGGCGCAGGATGGGCGCCAATGCAGTCATTAGATTTTGCATGTTTTGCAGGGACAATCGGCACGTCGCCGAGTGGGTTTCACTCAAAGACGTCAGCAGTCAGTAAAGGCGTGGACAACCTTTGAAAAGCCCCTGGCAGCCCATTGGCACTTGATAGCTGCGCTTGATATCCTGTTCCTCCAGATGGGTGAGCCACACTGCCTGCAGGATTTGAAGTCAAACGAGCGGTATGCGTTCGTGTTTTACATAACTCGTAAAAAAAAGGTACATATGTTTGTAAACATGTGTAAAAAGATATATACATATCCAAGGATGTATGTCTAGAGAGGGAAAATGGGCGCGCACACGCACACCAATACATTGACATATTCATACACACAATTGCAAGAGTCCCAAATGAATTGTTGGCGTTAGCCGAGTGCATAACGCATCTTTTTGGATCCCACACACATTGCGCACAAGCACGGCCTTACGAAGGGTAGCCGAAAAAAAGGACTACAAGTTAAGTGCGCATGCCTGACGGCCCTTCGGCGATGGGGGTCGCAAATCAGCTTCATCTGGATCGCATAAGGCCCTCACCCCCAGGGACTTCACGAAGATTGCAGGATCCTTGGCTTGTAGTTGGGACTCTTTTGAACCCATAGGATCGAAGCTATGCCACTTCCACGGCATATGAAAGGACACAAAACTGCTTGTGGAAGGACGTGAAAGGCAGGAATGTCCAAATTAGACATCAAAGAAGGACACAAACAGCAACGGTGAGGCCAAACATGCCGTAGGCTCATCATAGCCGCTGACCTTCTCCCGATTGATGCGCACACCAGACTTGTCTAGCTTCAGCGCAAACACAGATCCGGAGTGTGGCTGAAAGTTTTGCGTTTCCATAAGCAGCATCCGCAAACTGTTGCCAAGGGTTGAAACATCGCAAAGGTTTGTGCAAAGGGAGACATCTAGCTCCAGGTGCTTCAGGTCACGAAGGAAGCGAACACTCCGCCCCAGCTCGGTCATATAGAAGATATGTTTGGCACCGGAAAGGTCCACCTTCAACCGGTTGAGTTTGCTCAGATTGCGAATACCTTTGCCCAGGTCTCGCACATCCGCATCAACCAGTTTCCGACATCCACCGAGAGAGCACTCCAGCGACCTCAGCTGCATCAACGCTGTCACACACCCCGAAAACTTGTGCAGGCCTTCTACTTCATGGGGGGGGTGGGGGCAATGTCAATAAAGCAAACCTAAGGCATCCTTGCTGGTACGAGCTTTGCCTTTGTTGACTTAAGCTCTGTTTCTGAGCTTCCCTCTGGCCACAACCTCATACAATTCAGAAAATCCTGGGCTTGAGCCATGAACTGAGTCCAGCCACGTTAAGTTGACCAAAAGCCCCAGCGACTTGCCTGGGTCAGTGATGCGAAGTCTGCTCAAAAAAAGATATTGTTGGAACCCAGCACAAAACAGAAAATGCATGCACGTGAGGCTCAACTCAAAAAAAAGGCACGCGGTACCAAGATGTGATCCAACCATGACCTTCTGGGATATCGCTTTGAATCAAACCCCCGTTTTGTCGCGGGACCCCTGCCACCCCCAGTTATATACCCCTTTGTTGCGGCCTGTTGTGACATACGTTTGTCGCGAATGCTTGGCGCAGGTATGCCCTACAAAAGAAGCGTGTTCCAAACGTGCTTGTCGCAAGGCAGGAGATTCTGTTACAAACCTATCTCGCGGAATGGCCGCCCAAAGCCCAAAGCCTGTTACAAACCCAGTGTTTTTAATTCACAGCCACATATTCGAGGGGCTCTATGGAAGTCGGTCGGGTGATGGGCCATAATAACTTAAATTTATTCCTAGGAAGGACCCTGTGGTAGTGTCCATTTCATTGTCCATGATTGGGGGGGTAATATACTCTGGGAACCACCCCTTAAACCCTACATGGGATTGAACACAGGGATCTATCCTAGTTACCATTTGATTTTCCATTGGTTCGACATAATTTGTCGGCTTTCTTTTCCATCTGATTCTCCATTATCCCATGCAACAATGACCTAGGTACCAAGCTCGCTGAAGCTTTGCAGCCTTTCACAGGCTTCAAATTGGAGCTCTAAGCTCTTGAGGCTCGTCAACTGGGCCAAAGCAGTGTCCAAGCCATCCAAGCTCTTGAGATTCCTGTGTTTTCTTGAGATGGTTATATTGGGATAATGGAAAAGAAAATGGAAACTACTACAATGGCTTATATTAGGGTTATATTGGGGTTATATTGGGATAATGGAAAATAAAATGGAAACTACTATAATGGAGAATCAAATGGAAAAGAAAATGGAAATGAAATGGAGTATATTGGGGTTATATTTTTAGTCCAAGGCAGTTGTTACATGGGGGGGGTTCCGTAAATCAGGGGTACCATGTTGGGGCTGGAAGCAACAAGGATTATGTTTTACTATATTGGGGTCTTAATTGGGGTTCAAGTACCACATGAGCGACAATATTGGGCTTGATATCGGAAAATGTACTCAGGACTATACTCAGCCACAACACAAACCCCCATGCCCACTGTTAAGGGTCCCTTACTAGAGCTTGTATAGGCAGTAGCTCACTGCTGTTGACTTTGCCAACATGTTCTTTAAACCCGCACTGAGGAGGCTCGAATCTGCCTCGGGCGCGTGCTCTTGAGTGTATCTGAGTTTGTCCAAATCTTATCATTGGGGTGGTATTGGGTTTGAGGCTTTTTAGGGTTTTTAGGGTTGTTGAGGTGGTAATGGGTTGAAGGCACGGAGTAGTTCTGTTTCTGTACTCTGTCACCTCCAAGTCAGGGTTTACGGCTTTAGTGTTTCTACGAGGCATTCGGTTTGGGGTTTAGGGCATGAGGATAGGGTTTCAACTGCTCTGCAATGCTGACGGGCCCGCTTGTCAGAAGGATTCATGGAGGTTCACCTTAAAAGCCTTCAGAATCCAAGTTAGTCAAAGGCATTGGGTTCAACATTACTTCACAACCCTCATGTTGGCTTCATCAACTAATCTCTCTCCTGGGCCCTATGAGATCAGCCAAGGGCTAAAATTTGTCCAAAGGTGTCCAAGATTCTTGCAGCCACTCAGCCGAAGGGCAAGGTCTTCGAGCTGTTGCAGTGGCCTGGCGGCACTTTCTTCCGCATTATATACTATTAAATATATTGCTTTTGTAACCGTTGTCGCCATTTACAATTCTTAACGTTGTTGTTCTCGACTTATTACTTCTGGCAATGCCTGAGCTGTAATAACGGTAGTGCTAGCAGCAGCAGGATCAGGAGCAGCAACAATAGCTGCCGCAACCATCATCGGAATCTTGTGTATAATCGTCATCAGCAGTCATTGCGGCAGTATCAGTAGGAGTAGGAGCACAAGTGGGAGGAGTAAGGGGCAGGAATAGGAGTAGGAGTAGGTTGAGTACCAGGCGTAGAAGCGGAATAGGGGCAGGAGCGGGATAGGAGTTGCAGCAGGACAAGAGGAGGAGGAGCAGCGCAGGAGGAGTAGGAGCAGCCGAGGTAGGATTAGGAGGAGCAGCTGTAGGCGTAAGAGAGAGGTTACGACTAGGGCTAGGCGTCGGAGCAGGGCCATTGCTAGTAATTGGTAGTCCCAGTCGTAGTAGTGCCTTGGCCACGGCAGTGACCACAGCAGCAATTGTCGGTGTGGCAATAGAAGCAAAAGCAAAAAGGACAATGAGCCCTGCCTGATCCCTGAGCCTATATCCGCAACGGAGGTCAAGCTGGAGATGTTGCCTCAATGCCACCATCCCACAGGTCGACAGACGATGCCACGCAGCGTAACTATTTCTCTATAACACCCAACGGTCATGAAAGCGTTCAGCTACTGATCCTCGGCAGAGTGAGCAATTCCAAAACCGGACAATTGAGCTATAGTCTAAACTCCTAGTATCCCCCTTAATAACCCTAATAATAGGGACCCTATACAATCCCTTTTATAACGCTCTTAAAGGAGTTTAGACTATGGCTCACATTGGCGCAGGCCGACCTCGCCCTTTGTTGCGTCACCTCCAGTTACAAACCTCTGTCGCCCACCCCCCCCCCACCGAAAATGATGCCACCAAAGCTCTGTTGGCATAGATACTCCGCCAACCAAAATCGAGCTTAAGACTCCGCAGTTGCAGAAGGGAGCTCAGCTTCGGCGAGAAATCCTGGGTTGCTGTTAAGGAAGTTCAATTCAGCTACTATATTGGGGAAACCCTATTAGTTACTATATGTATCAACACACTATTGTAACTTAATCGAAATTCCTTGACAGCAGCCCAGAATCTGCCAAGAACTGCTGCGGGTCGTTCAGAGCGTGGGATAAGCAGGGCAGGACAAGCTCCTGCAATAGCAAAGCTCCAACAAAGGCAGAAATAATATATGTATATGTATATGTGTATGCATATATATATATATAAATACATATATGTATGGTAGTTTCCCAAAATATGGGGACCCTAATATAACCCCAAAATATGATATTCCTCATTATGGGGACCGCCAAAATGGTACCACTCAACCATAGCAGCAGGAGATCACAGTGGCTCGAGGCCACCAAGGCCCACTTCCAAAGCTCAGACAAGGCCAAGGCTACACGCAGTGCAAGCAGTTTAGGGTTTAGGGTTTAGGGCTTTTATTCCTAGGAGCGGCTGCCATGCTTACAGTCCCCTTAAGTAGATAAAATATGGGGTATATGGGGATCTTATTATAAGATACCCAAAGCCATATTCTATCTACTTAAGGGGGACTATGTATACAGCGACTAGCATCCTCTGGAACTAAGCCATGTGATGCCTGGGAGAACAGCCAGTCCTCCTGGGAAGTGTGCGCTGCAATTGCATCCAGGAAAGGACTGATGGATATGCGCCTTGCGGCTCGGTTGCAGGCCAGCATGGCAAAACATCTTAGTCTATCTCTTTGGCCTTGGCAAACTTCCAGTACACTTTGTGTAGTTTACACATAGTAGAATGTACATGGCTACCACATACACTGTACCTACTCCAAAAGGGGCACATGTCTGCCCTTGAAGAGTGTGAAAACAGTGGAGACTGAAAACACGAACACGAGGACCGATGTCAAAGTGGGGTTATCCACTCGGACATATCAATACAGCAGTGCTATTTTGCATATGCTTATCTAAACATACCTATATAAATTCACGTGTAGGATGACCATGTCATATGTGCGTGTGCGCACACAAGAGCGTACGCATATACCTGTGTATATGTATATGTATGCACAATATTTGTCCAAGCATGTAAAAGATCTATGAACATCTATGAATACATGCAGACATGCATATACGCACACAGACGTGCGTACGTATAGAGAAACGCATTACCAGCCTGTGCAGCAGTTGAGCAAGGGCCGACTGGGCAAAGAAGCTGTTGAGGGCACTGTCCAGGGCTGCTGTTGGAGTCTGCCTGAGGTATAGGGGATTATAGGGATCGTGCCGGGATTATATAGGGATTAGGGTTTGGGGTCTAATTTTCTTAAAGGGGGTGTATAAGGGATTATAGGATGTCGGTTCGATGTTTAAAGCCAAAAAATGTGTTTACCTCTTGAAAGGGGGGGGGGGGTGATGATGTTCAAACATTTTATCTTCTACTGGAGGCTTCAGTAGGGATCCTTCATATACACATACATAACAAACTCATATATGCAGAAATAAAAGATATGGGCATACGCTGAGCTACATGAGCCATATTCTGAACTCCAGGTATCCCCTTTATTATCCTCTATAGTAGTCCCCTATATAATCCCTTATACAACCCCCTTTAAGGATATTAGACCCTAAACCCTAATCCCTACAAAACCCCTATAAAAACCCGATGCAAACCTTATAAAAACCCTATAAAATCACTATAAAATCACTATAGAATCCTTAAAATCTTCCCTATAACCCCCTTTAAGGAGGCATCTGCCTGGGACGCAGCAAAGCTGCTGACCGGCCGCGGCTCGCTGGGCGATAAACTCCAAAGCCCAAGTCCTGTAGGACAGGTACAGTAGGGTTTAGGGGTTTAGGGTTTAGGGGTTTAGGGCTTTAGGATTTTAAAAATTTGGGGTTTTAGGGGTTTAGGGCTTTGGATTATAACTTCCCTCCCCCTAATATTAAACCCCCCCCCCACACCCCCTAAAATCAAATACTCCCATTATGTGGTATATTTTAATATATTGGGAATAGTTAATATTAGGGTGGGTGGGCGGGGTTTAATATCAAGGGAAGGGATTAGGCATGCATGTTACGAAACACGCGTTGTTTACAATGGTAGTTAAGACTTTTGGACACTACCTGGTCACGACTTGGGCTTTTGCCTAGTTCGCCTTACCCAGACCCCCTAAAGGATCCAAAAAATGGAACCCCTCCCCCAACATGAACCCATTACTACATTAGGGACACCAGGGGATTCTTAGGGGGTTCCATTTTTTTGGATCCTTTTGGGGGTCTGGGTGGGAGCTTCTTAGTGGCCGTGGTCATCTTGGAACCGTGCTTTGAGATTTGGTTTGGGGCTTCCTGCGCTTCACACACAGAATTCATAATAGCAATATGGAGAATAGTAAAGATAGTACTACTAGTGATAATATTGCTAATTTCAGTTGTTATAGCAACTCGTCATGTTAGTAGTAGTGCGATTTGCGGAGGGGTTCCTTGTGACAAGCCCGAATGTGAGATTTCGGGTCTCTCCTTTGTGATACCTCTCCACTCAAGCCAACTACGACAGTCGTAGGAACTAGGAAGGCTTCAAGGGTGTAGTCATGCCAGCCAGCACCGGGGCACTTTGAGATATTGGTACCTGCCATGCTTGTGGCTATGTCAGTGTTCGCTCCGGAAGCAGCCGCCCCCCTCTGCTCCTGTCAGATGGAACCGACGCCTCACACTGTGAGGACTCAATAGCGATCCCTGAGCGGAAGACCTGAGATCTGCAGGAACACCACAAAAACATACAAAGACATGGGAGGTCTCTCAAATTGTTGCGTCCCTTTCAGGGGTCCGTGGGGACCGTCGGGATCATAGACGGGATCTCCCACTGTTTGCGCTTAAGGGCTGTGAATGACAAATCCCCACATCCCCCAAACACCAACACTGCTTGGCATTCTGGTTCCCCCTAGCTTGTTGCAATGCCGGCCTCAATTGGGAAGTCCTTCTCCCTGTCAGTCTTGCATATCTGGCCCATTCCACGGTGCTTCATTTCCCACTCCTGCACTTTGCAAAAATGGATTTGAGTTATCTGCTCCTGCAAACCACTACTGATTACTAGCTCTCTCCTGTTCCGTATCCGTCAGGCCGTCGGTGAGCACAACAGGAATACCACTCCTGATATCATTCCGCCTAGGCCAGTGCGAGCGCAACAGCAAAATGGGCCAAAGTGCTACTGGGCTGCTGTTAAGGAACTTCACTTAGGTTACCATAGACGGGGCAGATTGTAAACAATAGGGCAATAGGGCTTCCGTACTATGGTCTCACAGTAATTTATATTCCTTAACGCCTTAACAGCAACCCAGTCTACAGCTATCGATCCTCGGCCCAAAGCCCCAACACACACAGCATAGTCGCAGGAAAGATGCATGGCAACCACATCCAGAACTCCACGTGCTCCCCCGGATTTTTTCAAATTCCCGTGCTGCGCCTGGCAAATCAATGCCACAAACCAGCCACAAAAAAAAAAGATGACTTCAATTCAAGAATGCGCATGAGAAACTGCAACTATCCATATGAGAGCTTCTCAAAACAAACGGCACCGCCAAGATGTCTCTACGAACCCTACATATCCCAAAGGTCTCTATGGGTAATCCTGCTTTGAGAAACCCCCCAGTGCTTTCTGCTCTCATATTAATGAACAACTTGCTAGTGACCGGTTTCGGTACTCTGCCTGGAATATGTAGCATCAGAGGGAATGTCTTCATCACTTGCAGGGAGGCGAGCAAACAGAAAAATGAAATGAGCTTTTTGGGGGCTTCTGGATTTGGTAGTTTCCCAAAATAGGGGGACCCCAATATAGACCCCAAAATACTATAATCCTTCTTATGGGGACCCCCAAAATGGTACGCCTAATTTTGGGAAACCCCCATTTGTGCAGGCGCTGAACGTTGGCTCAAGCATCCGCGAGCTATATGGGGGTTTCCCAAAATTAGGGGTACCATTTTGGGGGTCCCAATAATAAGGATTATAGCATTTTGGGGTCTATATTGGTGTGCCCTTATTTAGGGGAATTACCATCGAGTGAAACTTCTCATCTGAAGCATGCTACATGACAGCAGCCAAGAAAATCCAGATGCATTCCCTGCTGGAGCAGCACGCGAAAGAAGCTTGCAGAAATGACTGGGTTGCTTTTGAGGAACTAAATTTAAGCTACGACATTGGGGAAACCTTTTAATATATATATACCGTTTGTGGTCACTTAGTGTAAACTTCTTAACAGCAACCCAGATGAAGGTTCCAAAAGATTACCCCAAAACCTCCCACCCATGTCCGGAATGCCCATCATTCGGGTAATGTCCCTTGTATAATGTATACCTATCAGCCCTGTACATAACCCCTTTAACCCTACATAGATTTCATGAGCTAATTACAGTCAAACAATTCAATGAACATGGGTTTCTACTTCGGGCCTATATTAGGGATTTTACAAAACAATACGACTGACATTCATTGACAGTAGCTCCTATTATACTTCCCCTTGAGTAGACAGAATATGGGGTATATGGGGGTCTTATTCTAAAATACCCAAAACCATGTTCTATCTACTTTAAGGGAGACCATATATCCAACCCTGAACCCTAAACCCTAAACAATAGTTTCCGTTTTCTTTTCCATTATCCCAATAGAACCCCTATAACCCCTGTATCTACTTAAGGGGACTATAGCCCATTTCCGACTGAATCTGCGGGATGCCTCCCGCAAAGCGCCCCAACAGCAGCCCGCTTCCAGGATGCACCAAGCACGGCGGAAGGCCTGGGCCTGCTTGCAAAAGGGGATAAACTGGGTGGGGAATAATGGAAAAGAAAATGGAAACTACTAAAATGAGGTTATATAAGGTTAAGGGTTTAGGGTGTAGGGTTTTGGATTAGGGTGTAAGGTTATATAGGGATAATGTAAATACACAGGGATAATACAGGGGTTGGCTAGGTTTAGGGCTCAGGAGGGCTTAGGCTTCAGGGTTATAATATAAGGGACATATAAGTATGTAACTCGGGTTTATATACGGGCGATACAGGGTAATATAGGGTGACATAGAGACATTACCCCAATGATGAAGGGTCAAATGGTAAAGGACATGGAAAATGAAATGGCGTTTAGAGGGATGGTGTTTCTCTTGCCTCTGGTTAGTAGGGAATGCAGCTACAACACGGATCCGTTCCTTCATTCCTTTCTGCCCCAAGGTAAGAGCAGCCAAGCGCCATAACAGTGACAATGCATATGACACAAACTCGTGGTCATGACAGCGACCACAACTTTCTGCCTTAGCAAGAGTGGTCACCCTTCGGACCCCAACAAGGATCAGGCTGAGGCAGGAACGAATACATGACTTAAAAGTCTACTTAAACCTTCCAACAGATTGCAGCCCCGACAGCTGTCCACCTTCCCCCACCCATTAGATCAAGGAGAGCGTACCAAATCCCGCAGAGTAAGGACTCCTTAACGTGAGAGCCGGAACACTAGCAGGACCTCTACATGCCCTCGGGCTTGTTGTGAGATCAAGGTCTAGGCCGGTGCCTCTGGGCCAGCCAGCAGTACCATTGGTCTGCCACGCAAGGCGCGGATGGCTGCTGAGCGCCCGGGCGGAATGGCGCCAGAGGCTGCGCCACGTTCGCCAGGCCCTAAGGCACTCCAGGCAGTCCAGTATGCCACCCTGAGAGCCGTGAATCTGTGGGACAACTATCACTAAAAGCATTGTGACTTTGCTTGCTACCCTCAGCCCTAAACCCTATACCCTATGTAACCCCATTGTTGTAGTTTCCATGTTTCTTTTCCATGATCCCTATTTAAACCCAAACTACCCCCATATGACACCAAAATACTACTATAGTAGTTTCCATGTTCTTTTCCATCATCCAATTCTCACCCCAATATAACCCCATAGACTTATAACCCCAATATACCAGTTTCCTGGTCTTGAAGCAATCCAGCAAGGAAGTCTTGCCTCCTAAGCCCGAGGTCGCGGATCTCCGCATGTCTTGACAGGCTCTTCACAAGGGCGCTGATCGCCTTCATCTTACTGGTGGCTAGCAGGGAATACGGGAACATAATCCCTTTCTAATCCCTATATCATATATATATATATATGAATTATATGAATATATACATATTCCCTTATTCCCTGCTAACCCCAGTAAGTCATCGTGGCAAAAAACGCAAAGCTGCATCCACCAACAAATGGTTTTCGCCGATCTGGCCTCGCCCCACCAGTGAGAAACAAACCAGGTCTGGCCTCGCGAGATCTGATCTAGATTCAGGCGACGGGGCCCTGCAAAAATTAGTTTCCTATTTATTTCTTTCTTGCATTATATGTGATTAAGCATAGTTGGAAAAGTCCACGGTCAAACCCACGTCTGTTAAGACCACGGAGCTATACCTGACACTTCTTCAGTGATTCTCGCAAAACTTTAGCAGGCCTGGTGCTCTGCTGTCGGTGGTGACAATCTCGGCATAGCCTGCACAAGGCTAAGCTGCCTAAAGGCAGGCGTGACCGAAAGTAAACCCGGTGTAACAAGCTACATGTAGCAGCTTAGCTAGGGGCTCATGTCTTCCCGGAAGGTCAGAGGCTCGATGACCCAGTGATTGACCTTGCAAATGAGTAGGATGCTGCTGCTCATTGGGTGCTTCGAGCATTTGGGGGTTTCACAAAATTAGGGGTACCTCTTTGCGGGTTCTTATTGTACGGGCTACAGTATTTTGGGGTCCATAGTGGGGTCCCCCCTTTTTTGGGAAACTACCATTGGAATCACAGGCCTGATAGATGTTGGCTTCCTCCAGTTGGATGGATGCCAGCTGACGACCTCGATCGTACCATCCGAGGAGGCAGCCATCTTTAGCTGTCCGACCTCCCACAACTCCAAATGAGCCATAGTCTAAACTCCCGCTATCTCCCTTAAAAATCCCTATAGTAGCCCCCTTATTTGATCCCCTCACATAACCCCTTTAAGGAGTTTAGACTATGGCTCAAACGATTTCATGTGATACCAACCATCACCAGCACCAGCAGCAGGAGCGACACACAACGGTAGCCGATGGCTTAATATTCCGGCCGAAATAATTACCAATTTCCTTTTGAAGTCTGTTTGAGGTACCATATACTATAACTGTACAAAGACTCTAGAATCACAAGATTGTTCATTATTTTGGCCCCTACAGTAGAAAGCAACACGTGGACATCTCATCACTCCACTTCTTTATTCTCAATGGCAGGAATTGAAATTGTCTGTGTACTATATAGTAGCATCCTATGTAGTAGTAACCATTTTCTTTTCCAGAATCCCTATATAACCCCAATATACTATATAGTCGTTTAAATGTTTCTTTTCCATTATCTGAATATAACCCAATATACTATGTAGGAGCTTCCATTCTCTTTTCCATTATAAAAATACGAGGCCCGGCCTGTCATGAAGTTGAGTAAGGCAGTGTAGTGCTCCAGAAGAAGCCCCCTCTCTTCACTGCGTGGGATGGCCGTCGCACAGTCGCCAGCATCAGTAAGCTGGCTGAAATCCTCCGGCATAAGCTGCGTCAGATCTTGCAAGGCAATGCATAAGTCCTCTAGTGTCTACTGCAACTGGGATGAGTGCCCTGTGCTCAGGGCTTTGGCAATAGTTCCAATGATTGCAAAGGTAGGCCTACGATGCCTCAGCAGAACTTCTGATCTTATGCTTTTGCTCCTGCTCTGCAGGCGTCGTGTGGTAGATGTATGCCAGGAAGTCGCAAACCTGGAGGTCGTGCTCATAAGTGGCATGGAGTGTGACTTCCCTATTCAGCCAAGCATCAGCAACTTCCGGCTTTGCCTCACGCAAGGGAAAACCATATTTTAGTAGTTTCCATTTTCTTTTCCAGTATCCCTATGGAACCACTATATAAATACATAAATATACATATATATATATATACGTATGTATATATATATATAATAAGTAGTTTCCATTTTTTCCATTATTATCCCAGAACCCCAAGTCTGCTACATGCCAGCTCTGTTCGTCA